GGGTAGATCCCAGCCTGTGCTGCGTTCCTGGATTATGTTTCCCCAGGTGCAAGACTTTACACGTCTCCTTGTGAATTTCATGAGGTTCTTGTTATCCCCCTCTTCCAGCCTATCCAGGTGTCCCTGCAGGGTGCCTCTGCCTTCCGCAGCGTCCACCTCCCCACTCAGTTTGGTATCATCAGCAAACTTCATCGGGGTACACGTGATGCCATCATCCAGGTCACTTATGAAGAGATTAAACAGCACTGGGCCCAATACCAATCCCTGGGGGACCCCATGTGTGACAGGTTGGAAAAGGAGCTATTTCCCACCACCCTCTGGGTGTGGCCTGTCCACCAGCTCCCCACCCACCGCACAGACCCCTTGTCTAGACCATAACACATCAGCTTCTCTAGGAGGAGCATGTGGGGAACAATATTGAAAGCCTTGGAGAAATGCTGGCAATGTCCACACTTGCCCCACATCAACCGAGCAGGTTACTTTGTACACTTGTGCAAACAACCACAAAATCTACAGGAGTTTGCCTTTAATTAGGATCACTCATTTGTGCTTCTAATACTAGTAATTTCTTTTCTTAAAAAGAGATGTAACTTGCCCTTGTGTTACCAACATCAGCTGAAAGTCATCCAACAGGGACATAAAGATATTTCTACCATTTTAAATGCCTCAATATTGCATGAGTACATTCCATCTTTCAATGTATTCCAAAAGAAAGTTTAGATGAATCACTTCAGAAGACAACTTAAGCTTTTAATATACTGATATATGTAACTATATATATCACACATCTCTAAAAATGTACTTGTACACACACACATATAAAATATGCACAGATGCACACTTACAAACGTACAAAATTCTTATTTTTTGCTACCAGTATTATCTCACACATAAACCTAATTCCATCTCACTAAAGTGAATTTTTGGGGGAGAAGTCTACAGAGATTTGTTTTCCTTGTCTCCTTAATAGCTATCATTAGTTACTTATTTTCTTGCTACAATTTATGTCCCAAGTGTATACTGCAGATACTTTAACAGCAACACAAACACAATTATCTTACCAATGAATGTTTTATTATTGTTGGAATCACTGCAAAGTTTTGCTGTATTTCCATGTTGAAATATTCATCTAATGCTAATATGAAACATACTGTATCTCACATGTTTGTTACACATGTATTGATTCAGGGTCTGACTTTCATTTTATTTTGCAATGACTTTCATTTTTTTTATTTTTATCCTTTTATTTTTCCACTTTATTTTCCAAAATCCATACTGACATTAATTAAACTGAAATAAAAGTTGTGCAGGTTTCCCCCCTGCCCCATTTTTACATGCCTGCCAGAAAATTTCAGAAGTCAAAATGTTCTCATTAGAACTTACACTTTGCTTATGAAAACACTGAGCAGTAAAGCTTCTTTTTGGCAGGAACATTTGAAGTGCAAAACTTGACTAATTTCTTGTATGTAAGTCAGTCTCGTACACATAAATACACGCCTCAAAAGAAAAACTCAAATGTAATGATTGAAAACAAGTCATAAATTGAACCACCACAGATAATCCACAAACTCCACCTGCTTCAGGGAAATCACTACTCACAGAATCACAGAATTGTCTAGGTTGGAAAAGATCCTGAAGATCATCCAGTGCAACCACTGACCTAACACTGACAGTTCCCAACTACACCAGATCCCTCAGTGCTAAGTCAACCCGACTCTTAAACACCTCCAGGGATGGGGACTCCACCACCTCCCTGGGCAGCCCATTCCAACATCTAACAACCTTTTCTGTAAAGAAATGCTTCCTAATATCCAGTCTAAACCTTCCCTGGTGCAACTTGAGGCCATTCCCTCTTGTCCTGTCGCTTTCTACTAGTTAAAGAGACTCATCCCCAGCTCTCTGCACCCTCCTTTCAGGGAGCTGTAGAGGGCGATGAGGTCTCCCCTCAGCCTCCTCTTCTCCAGACTAAACCCCCCCAGTTCCCTCAGCCGCTCCTCGTACAACCTGTGCTCCAGACCCTGCACCAGCTCCGCTGCCCTTCTCTGGACATGCTCGAGTCATTCAATGTCCTTTTTGTAGTGAGGGGCCCACAACTGAACACAGAAATCGAGGTGCAGCCTCACCAGCGCCAAGTACAGGAGCAAGATCCCTTCCCTGTCCCTGCTGGCCACGCTATTGCTGACACAAGCCAGGATGGCATTGGCTTTCTTGGCCACCTGGGCACACTGCTGGCTCCTGTTCAGCCAGCTGTCAATCAACCCCACCCCACCCCCC